CCTCGCCATTGCAGAATTCACGCCTTCCAGTTGAGAAATCTCCAAGATCTGTTACTTCCAAGCCTTCTGTGGAACGGCGGTCTCCTAAGATCAGTACTCCACCTGATGTAAGTTTCACATAATTCATTCCTTGACTGATTATCCTTGGTTTGGCCTGCATTTTTTCCGGGGTTGGTGGATCTAGAGATGGAAAAAGGCATGGAGTTGAATGCTAGGATGCAACTTAAGTTGCAATGTCTTGCTGTGCTATGTTCTAATTAAGTGAAATCTCAGTTTTATTCACCATTGGTTTAAATAAATGCACTAGCAGTCGTGGCGATTAGTGAATTATTTAGACTCGCTAACAGTAATGGCTGAAATGATCTCTAATATATATTGTTTGTCTCAAAACTTACACATTCTGATCAGAAGCATTGCATGATTTAATTGTTGTCAGAAAAAGCCAATGCGGATCCTGAAGCCATCAGAGCTGCAAGCTGAATTGAATGTTGTTCATGAAGATCTTAAGAAGGCAAAGGAGAAATTAGCTTTAGCTGAGAAGGAGAAGGAGAAAGCACTTGAAGAAGTGAAGGAATCTCAGAAAATGGCTGAAGAAGCCAATGAGAAGCTGAGAGAAGCTGCGGTGGCCCAAAAGCGAGCTGAAGAGAACTCTGAAATTGAAAAGTTCCGTGCTGTTGAGATGGAGCAAGCAGGCATTGAAGCATCTCAGAAGAAAGAAGAGGAATGGAAGAAGGAGCTCGAAGATGTGAAGAACAAACATGCTTTGGATGTTGCTGCTCTCCTAACCGCCACAGAGGAGCTTCAACGGATAAAGCAAGAATTATCCATGACTTCTGATGCCAAAAATCAGGCACTCAGCCATGCTGATGATGCCACAAAGATTGCTGAAATTCAGGCAGAGAAGGTGGAAATTCTCTCCGCCGAGTTAGTGAGACTGAAATCTTTGCTTGAATCTAGGAATCAAAGTGATTCTAGTGAGAAGAATAAGTTGGTGGAAGATCTGAACATTGAGATAGCAGCACTGAGAGAAGTAGATAATGAGAAGAATAAGTTGATGGAAAACTTGAAACTTGAGATAGAGGCGCTGAGAACAGAAGACTGTGAGAAAAATAAGTTGTTGGAAAATCTGAAACTTGAGACAGAGGCTCTGAGAAAAGAAGATGATGAGAAAAATAAGTTGTTGGAAAATCTGGAACATGAGAAAGAGGCACTGAGAAAAGGAGATGTCGAGACGAATATGTTGTTAGAAAATCTGAAACTTGCAAATGAGGTATTGAGAAAAGATGATGGTGAGAAGAATAAGTTGTTGGAAAATCTGAAACTTCAGATTGAGGCATTGAGAAAAGAAGATAGTCAGAAGAATAAGTTGTTGGAAGACCTGAAACTTGAGGTAGAGGCACTGACAGAAGAACTCGAGGAGGCAAAAAGTTACGAAGAGAAATTGGTGGAGAAAGAAGCTCTCCTGGAGCAACTTAATGTCGATCTGGAGGCTTCTAGGATGGCTGAATCTTATGCACATAATCTAGTGGAGGAGTGTCAGAAGAAGGTTGAGGAATTGGAGGTACAGTCTAAGGAGGCCCGTCATTTGGAGAGGTCTGCATCTGAATCACTGGAGTCAATCATGAAACAGCTGGAAGGAAGTAATGATTTGTTACATGATGCAGAAGCTGAGATTGCCTCTCTCAAGGAGAAGGTGGGCCTACTTGAGATGTCAACGACAAGACAGAAAGGGGATCTTGAGGAATCAGAACGTCGTTCTCAGGTTGCCAGGGAAGAAGCTTCTGAAATGTCAAAGAAGGTTGAGTCACTTATTGTTGAGCTTGAAACTGTGAAGGAGGAGAAAATTCAGGCTATCGAGCAAGAGAAACTAGCGGCAGAAAGTGTCCAATCCCTGTTGGAAGAAAAAAATAAACTTATAAATGAGTTGGAAAGCTCCAGGGAGGAGGAAGAGAAAAGTAAGAAGGCAATGGAGAGTTTGGCATCAGCATTGCATGAAGTTTCTTCAGAAGCAAGAGAAGCTAAAGAGAGGTTTTTGTCTAGCCAAGCTGAACAGGAACATTATGAAACACAAATAGAAGATTTGAAGTTAGTACTGAAAGCAACCAATGAAAAGTATGAAAGCCTGCTTGATGAAGCAAAAGAGAAAATCAATGATCTCACTACTTCAGTCGAACAATCTAAGAATGATAACCAGATTTTGAAGGCTGAGTGGGAGGACAAGGAGCTTCATCTGATGAGTTGTGTAAAGAAAACTGAAGAAGAGAATTCTTCAATGGAAAAGGAAATAAACCGATTGGTAAATCTGCTAAAAGAGGCTGAGCAAGAAACTGCTTTCAAAGAAGAAGCAGTTCAGTTGAAGAATTCTCTACAGGAAGCTGAATCTGAGGTGACCTATCTAAAGGAGGTTCTTGGTGAAGCAAAGGGTGAGAGCATGAAGTTGAAGGAGTCTTTAATGGACAAGGAAAATGAAGTGCAGAATATTCTTCAGGAGAATGAGGAGCTTCGAAGTAGAGAAGCCGAATCTTTAAAGAAAGTTGAAGAGTTGTCCAAGTCCCTCAAAGAAGCTTTGGCCAAAAAGGAATCTGAAGAAAATGGAGAGCTTTCTGAAAGTGAAAAAGACTATGACATGCTTCCAAAGGTGGTGGAATTCTCCGAACAAAATGGAGGAGGAAGAGTGGAGGAGAAGCCTAAGATTGAAGTTATGCCTCATCAATCTGAGCCAATCCCAGAAGAAAAATCTGAAGTAGTCAACATCACCTTGCATGATAAAGCTGTTGAGACCCTCAGTGAAGTTGAAAAGCCAAATGGAGAACTGACTGGAAATACCAACAAAGAAAAGGAAGACGATGATTCAGCAGAACGTGAGTTTAAAATGTGGGAGAGCTGCAAGATTGGCGACAAAGACTTCTCTCCTGAAAGAGAGACAGTACAAGAGGAGGAATCAGATTCAAAGACAGAGGCTGGAGAGAGCTACGACCAGGTAAACGGATTACCTTCAGCGGAAAATCCTGAGAATGCTGGCACATCTCCTACAAAGCCACAAAGTCAGAAGAAGAAGAAACCTTTGCTTCATAAATTCGGAAGCCTACTGAAGAAGAAAGGCACCAGCAGCCAGAAGTAATACACCGGTTGTCACCTATCCTGTTGCCTGACATGTAGAGAGGTATACTAAATTCAAGAGTAAATGTTGAACTTAAATGTGTTTGCTCAAAATCTTTGCTTTATTTTCTCTTCTTTGGTTTATTTGTTTGTCCCAAATAGATGTTTACATAAGAAAAATGATTGTATCATCGGTAGTGTTCCATTCTTATTAGTTCCTGGGGTTCAGTTTCTCAATGTGGTTTCTCATCGTGTTGAGCTAATATCCTTTATTTTGTATTATTCTTTTTAGCTTTGTTCATTTTCTATACTTTTAGTATCTGATTTCCATCAGGAGATCAAAGAGATGCTTTTCCAAGTGTACTATGATATGGTCTAGAATTGGTCTTCCGTCCATCGTCTATATCCTAGTGAACTTTGTGATGTTGAATTCATTAGTGTTCTTGAACTATTGTTACTCAAGTAGTCAAGCTGCTCGTCTCAGGGAGATCGGTTTTATGATCCATTACAAATATCCATTTAGTTATATGGCCATTTTTACAATTGTTACTCAAGCTGCTCCGCGTGGTATAACTGAAATTTCTCTTGCAGTTAGCCACAAAATGAGCAATTGTGCTTGGTACGAAGGAAAGTATTTTTCGGAAAATGTCCCTTTTATTGTGTTATGTTGCTAGGAAAATACTTATGCAACGAATGACTTCAAGAAAATCATTTTTCTTCATAATTATCTCGATTTTTAACGTTACGTCATTGCTCAAACTTTAAAACTTAGCCGCGTAAAAGTTCAATAAGGTATAAGTATATACACGTATTCCTCTTACTATTATATATAGTATTAAATTAGACAAAAATAATAGCTAATAAATTGACCCTACCCCGAAATGGGGGTTTGATGTGAATTCAGAATAGTTGAATTTTAATGTAGGTGAAAAAAAATAAAAAAATAATACTAGTGAATTGATGCTTGGATTGAAAATGAGATGTACAGGGTATATATAACATGTTTTACTATAGATTTTAATAATTTTTAATTTTTTGAGAGAAGCTTGGGAAATATCATTTTTGTTACTTCATTTGGTTGTTTTAACTTTTAATTAGAGCAACTCCAATATTGTTATCCACATTACATGTGATTATACCAAAATTATGTCATAAATAATCTCAGGATTACTTATATCAAAATCAAAATAGTAACTAAATATAAAATAAAATAATCTCATATTTTATTTTACGGAATCATTAACCTCATATTTCATAACCAAACAATCCCCGGACGGTTAAATATCAATCTTATAATCAACGCAACTAGCCCATGACTATAGAAATTTATAATTTCAAAGTTATTATATATTTATAAGGTATACAAATATAATACATTTATGAATAAGTAACCCAATAATTGTTTATACCAATATAATTTTTTAAATCAAATACGAAAAAAAATAAAATAACTTATCTAGAATTATTAGAAGACATTTTGACCATGGAATTTTTTTCATTTTTCTTTTGAGTTGAACTTTGAAAAATACGTTTGATCATAAAATTTTGAAATTCAACTTAAAATTTCACACTTTTCAAGAATTGAAAAACAACAAAAATGTATTTTCATCTTTTTCGGTTCACTCCAAATTACTCACAAAAAGTAAAAAAATAACTCCAATTTATATTCGTGATCAATTTTCAAAAATCATTTTTCACTTTCAAAAGACAATTTATTTATTTTTTCATTTCAAATTTCACGATGAAATATGGCCAATCACCTGCTTTTTTCGCAACCAAACTACCCCTAAGTTTGGCCGTGGGGTGATCTTTAACTTGGTGATTAAGGGAAAAGAAAATAGCGCGAAATTTCTCGGAGCTCCAAGCCAATGCATAAACCGCTAAACCAGTGACCCGCGTCGCAGGTAAAGGATCTTAACTGTATACTCTCTATTTTCATTTCCTCCTCGAACGAACTCTTCTCTACGAACCAAAGAGCGATTCGTTAACGGAGGCCGGAGTTATCAGAATCGGAATCGGTGACGGTGACAGAGAGACAGCATGGTGGTGGAGCTGTTTTGTTTCATCGCCGTTGTTGTAGTACTTAAGTACTTCTTTTACGATGACGATGTAATCGATGTTGGATCCTCCGATTTCAATGCTCTATTTACTGTTGCCGAAAGGTATTACACTCTTTTTGAGCTTCTATTTTCAATCTATTGATTGATGATTTTGAATTTTTGATCGTATGATCGTTTTGTGTTAATTTAGGCTTGAGAAGCTTTATGATGGTAAGGCTCATGTTGGGCTTCAAATTCCTGACCAGGACTCTGGTTCTCGACAGAGTATTGATGTAGTTCTCGTCACTAGAAGGTGCGTCTCTTGAACTCACATCACAATTAATTACATGTGTGCTTAATTGAATAAGGTGTATCTGTGCTAGTTATTTGCTCATAGAAACTTTACCTAATTCCTTGGTTGTTGTCATAATTTTGGACTTTACCTCTGAGTAGAACTTTTAGCATTCTCAAGCAATAAAGGTTAGGTTGGGATCTTACTGGAGTTCCCTCAGCCGTTAAGCGTCTCAAGACAATCATGGGGCTAAAGTGTCATGGGACTAACACACGGGAGTGTGGTTGTATGATTTGGACAGTCGGCCTCATAAGCCCCAAGTACACCCAGTTATGCTTTAAGCTCTGATTGTTCATTCTGAGCTGTATGACTCTAACTTATGTGATATTTTCTTCTTTAGGAGCGTGTTTGCTCTATTAAAATGTTATTATTCATATAACCGACCCCAACTTGTTTAGTGCTGAAGAGTAGTTGTACATATATGTTGTACCTAGACAGTTAAAATCAATTTTGTGACATCTTTGCATTTGAATTTATAAAATTTTAATGCATTTCTATAAAGAAAATTAAGTTAATTAACTATTGAATACTTTTATGTTTAAAAATAAGATACACGGGGTTTATGCCCCATGCCTTGGGCTAACACCTTTCCTTCATGATAAAGCGTCTGGTTCTACACCTCCTCCCTTTAAATGATTCTAAAGCACAAACTTCTGTGTTTGTTTGTTCAATATCATTTCATTGTATAAGGTGGCATAAGGATATATTTTTCTGTTTTAACTATATCTGTGATTTAAAGAATTTTGTTTCCTTCGATTAGATGGAAACAAAACCAGTGCATAAATTAGTCTCTTTTTTTCTTCAGGGAAGCAATGATAGTTTGTGTAAAGAATGTAGCAGGGTTTATATCTGTTGATAAGGACGGGAGATGGGTTTGTACTGGAAGCCATAAGACGGAGCGTCTCCCCAATCCTGTTAGTTGCAAATCTGTCCTTATTGCTTTTTTAGGTGTTACTGGATCTGATGTTGCTAAAACAACTTGATACTTGATTGATTACTTGACATGGAAAAACTTAATTCTCTATCTGTCTATCATGGCTTTTTCTATGATTTTTCTGGTCAAACATTGCCTTAAATCTCATAGTTTCTGTGAAATTCTTGCTACTTGCACGACTGCTTAGAATGCTAACTCCGCCATGTTCTTTTTGCAAGAATTTCCGAAGTGAATATGGCTAGGTGCCACTCAATTATGAACCTTTTCTGATTATGCCCATGCAATAATAATTCTCTTTAGGTTTCTCTTTTTTTTTTTGGTTGACAAGGGAATCTGCAACCTCTATCCTTCGGGTGCACACAAGGTAAACCCTGCCCCTGCAAATCAATATGAAGAGGTAAATGGCACTAGGCAAGCCCTGTGCAATGAGGTCGATCGAGAGAGCATGTAGGGGTTTTGAACCTATGATCCCCCATTTGGGAGATCATTCTCTTTAGGTCTTCTGTACATGCCAGTATTACCTTTTTTAGTTTTTACTAGTAGTATTGACATGAGCTGTCCAGGATTCCTTCAGTGATGGTCTTCCCAAGAAGGGATGATGCTATGTCCACCATTCACCTTGAGTTTATGCGCAAGGACTTTAAGGTAAAGGACTAACTAGATCCAGTTGTTTCTTTTCTACATGGAGAATTTTCATTACTGTAGATCCACTCTCCCCGGAAGGATTGATGCTACTTGCTTAAGTCTGGAAGGAATGTTCTTCTGATTCTGTTGTCCCTTATAAATCCCCTCCAAACTTGTGAAACCACTCTGTCACCAAGGATGATTTTGGGTTGGATTGAAGTGCAAATTAGTGACTTTATTTCTTATTGAAGCTTGACAATTTAGGTAGATCTACTCCATCAAAAGGTAGGTTGGCATTGAGTAATTTCAGCAAAGATAACCATCTCTAGAAATCTGATGTGCCCTTCAAAATTATATGAACAATTCCTGCATTCAGGGCTTTGGTTCAATGGTAAGGTCATGACATGGTATGTGTGAATTATGAGTAGAGCACTAGATCGTATCTTGCCATTGGCACAAAGTTGGTACTTAAGTGGGATCAGCTTGAGGGGTTAGTTCATACTCGCTCAGTTACAAATGAGGAAATGAGATCTCCTGCCCTTTTACAAATTGAATAGAAGAAAATGCCATTTTCAAATTTCTTAGGTTTAAAAATGAAGATCTCTTGTAAAAATGACATAAAAATAAAAAAATAATTGTAAAGGGTTAGAAAACCAGTTCTCCCATTACAAACATGTGTACCAACTGGGTTGGGCCAACTGACCCACCTGGGATTTGTCGGTTATATAAAAAATTTATATGATCAACTCTGGTCTGTTGGTCAATTGAGCTAAGAATGCCTCCTGACAGGGTCGATATATATGCTTTGAAGTATATGTCAGTGTAGTATAGTTTTCCTGGAGCATAAAATAGGAGCACTCCACCTTGTGTAGTGGGCTTTAACGGTCCCTCTGTAGGAAGAATCTATTTCGAGATAGGGTTAGAGATTGCACCCAAGGATGTGGCCTAGTGGTCAATGAAGTGAGATGAGAATCATGAGGTATCCTAGCTCCAATGGAGGCAGTAAATACTTCCCATTTGCTTACGCCTGGGTGGATGGAGTTACCTGGTACATGTGCTAGTGGAGGTAGCAGGTACAAGTGGAATAGTCGAGGTACATGCAAGCTACGCCCGGAGACCACAGTTACAGCATTGTTCAATTGAGAATAATTCCATTCAGATGCCACCTTATGCTTAACTATGCCTCAATACCAAACAAGTTGGGGTCGTTTTCACCTTATCAAACAACTTGTCATCTTCTATCATTTATCATTGATTAGTGGAATTTGCTTTTCTTCTGATGATATCAAGATTTTAGTTTTGTGCATTGTTATTATAACTTTCTATATTTCAGGTAGCAGAAGCAAAACAATTAGTTCCTATTCTTGAATCCTACGTTGAACAAAGGGGCATCACTCTTCCCGAAGGATATTTGTCTTGCAAAGTCATATGTTCAAACCCCAATTTCTGGTATGCATTTTCATCATCTGCTGGTTATACCTCATAGTAATGTTGAGATTAAGCATGTATTGGACATTAATTCTTCAAGTTATTTGTAGCTTGAGGAGCATTTTTTCCCCAATGGAACTTTTGAGATGTGAGTTTTTTAAGTTGAACTGAAAGCAATTAGTTGTTCCTAGCTGCTTAAGGCATTAAAGATCCATCCCAGCTCCATAGCTAAATATTATGGTTGGTTAACCAGGCGATAGCTTTGCGATCGATAGTTTAGTGAGGTAGGCCACCTCCCTATTTCTAATGATAGATAGAGAAGGCGTTTGAGGGGCTTAGGCAAGACAGAGAGAGGTATATTACTAGCCTTCTTGGTACCGACCAGCTTAGGCTAAAATTCCATTGAAGAGCGTTACATGGTAGAACATGAGATAATTTGACTCCCCTTTTCAAGCAATCTTAGTGTTTGAACCTACAGAGAGAGAGAGAGAGAGAGTCCAGAGGCTAAACTACTACTTCAATATCTGCTATCTCTATTTTCACATTTGTGACGGCTCCTTTGCCCGGCATTCTTATCCTCTACAATGTATTTATATTCGATATGAATTCCTTTTTTCTCCTACACCTGCTAAGGATTTGTTTGATGCTCTATTTGTGTCTAGATACTTCCTGTATATCCTATAAATTTTGATGATCTACTTAGCAAAATTAGAACCTTTATTGTATATTCATAGTAAAAGTTCAAATGGGTTCTCAATCACCCTTGTAGTGCTCTCAAGTCTACGTCTATAGATTTTTTCCTCAAAAGTTTAGGTGCGTGGCTCATAAATTTTATAGCCCTGACAACTTTGAATATTATCCTTTGTTGTGTGCCGTAATCATGATACTGTTTGTCCATTCATTTTTGCACACCTTAGTGTAATATTGAATAGCTTGATGAGCTTCAGAACATCTTTAGGGATATCATGTTATAAAGTAAGTAACTCGCTGAGAGAATGGACCCATCCGATGCGAGTGATGTGGCAACTTGATCTGATCCCTGCAGAGTGAAAACATACATTGAGGCATTTGGGCGTAAGTCACTCGATTCAGGAAAAAAATTTAACTATTAGAATAAACCTCAATAAAAGTATTGTTCACATGTTAAGTAAAGAGTACAAAATACTTTTCTGTTCTCTAGAAATCCTTTCGGTATTTAAATAATCACAAAAGAATTAAAAACACTCTTCCTGAAGTCGAAAGAAAAAATAGTTCTCTGTAGTAGTTTAATAATGGTAACATATTAGTTTGCATGTTATAACTTTCCTTTTACTTGTTACTCGGAAATAAAAGTATCTTGTGATATCAAAATTTAAAAATTCCAACATGAAGCAAGAAAAGGGCCACAAGGAATATACAAGGAATATGTTTACTTTCAACGATAGAAGTTATCAACCATGAGAGCTAGAGCATGGACTCCTTCCATTGATATTTTATGACTATTTGGCGAGAAAGAAACCGACGAGCTTTTGAAGGGATAGAAAGCACTTCTATTCAATTGAAGGGATATTATTTTCTTTGGATTTCTGAGCAACTATGAGATATCTGTTATCATAGACGATTGGTTGCTCTTACCTTTATAACAAGAAAATATATGGGGTTCTTGTATCCCTTCTATTTCGTAGGTTAAACTGGTGAAGTCATTCAAATAGGAGTCTTGACCGTAGAATATAGTTATCTACTCTTAAAAAAATTGAGTTGCATAAATCTTGATAAGATAAAACCTTATGAGAGTTTATTAAAGACGGCAATCTTCAATCTGAACTAATAGAACTCTAGAAAATTAAACAAAATATGCAAACAATTCAAAATAAACATAAACACTCGATGGAGATTACTCATGTAAACAAAATAAACAATAAATATAAATTGTTGAGATTCATTATCAAAAAAACTATAAACTGTTTGGATTAACTTTTGAATGACATCTTTTATGTTATTCCAGTATTATGTTTCTCTTGTGATCATTAAACTTGCATCTTGTGAATATTGCTAATTACTTCTTTGTTGCAGTACCATTGACTCAGACTCTTTTCCCTCTGAGGTCATAACATATGACCAATGGATACAACTAAAACCCGAATCAAACATGCTTTCTGGTTGGATTAAAGGTGCATTTCATGGTGGGAAGAAGGACGTACAGGAATCAATACGTGAGAAGCTTAATCTTGTACTCAGCACAGCTCCAATGTGGGACAGGTCTGTTGCATTGCATTCATCTTTATGTTGTGTTATGACACTAAATTTTTCCTGAACTAAGTAGAAACAGTGGGTTTGTTCGTTTTGACCAAGAATGTTGACCCTCCTGCTAGAATGTCAAAAATTCATGTAGTTAAAGTTAGGGACCTACAAGAAAGTGTTTTGGTCTGTTACTAATTTAGTTGCAGTGTAAGATCTTGAACAAACAGGGAAGAATAACATCAAACAAGAGAATGTTGGCTAATAAAGCCCACCATTCCTGAGGGAAGTGTTTGATTGAAGAGTGCGTGTATGTGTGTGTTTCTTCTTCTTCTTTTTTCGGACCGAGGTGGGGGAGGCAGAGCGAGAGAGAGTGTCAAGTAGATCAAAGCTATTTCTGGAAAAACAATAATGCAGATGTTCATGAGTTAATAGACATTCCATCTTATCTCATGGAAGAAATTTGCACATATCCTTGCAGAGTTGCAGTTTATATGAAAGCATTACCAACTCAGAAATTTTACTAAAATTATTCTGATACATACAGGTTAGAGCTCAAAGGTAATAAATTTGTCCTTGGAGAGTTTCTCGAGTTCAAAGGGGATAATGAAGATATTCGGGCATTGGGAAACATCAGGAGATCAAAAGTTAGTACAGTGACAATCCAGAAAAGAAGCATGTTTGGTGTAGGTAAGGAGAATAATAACTGTGGTAGTTGGCAAATGCATTTACCTTAATGTACTTGAACATAACCTTGTGATTGGTGGGTTATACATGTCTACCGGATACTATGTTCATATTTTCCTTGAATCTAAGAGATCTTTTGTTGCTTTGGGAGTTGCAGCTCCTTCCAAGCTGGAAGTACGCTACTGTCTTCGAGATTATCGTGGTGAAGGCGCTTCAGCTTCTGACTGGACAGAAGTCACTGTCCATTCCAGGACTGAGATCAAAATTCAACCAAAAGGTTCAACCAAAGTACGCAAATACAAGTTATCCTCAGTTATTTCCATGTCATTAAGTGCCTGACATGTCCGTGGAAAGTCATATGGGCATTGATCGTTGCGATGGAGTGTTTTAATAAATTTGTTTTGATTCTGAACCTCGTTTTTCCTTCAGAAGTTCTAAGTTGATGTATGTAACTATTTTGTTGTGTATATCCTATCAAGTGTAGCAATTCTGGGTCAAAATGTAAAATGGAGAAAGGGCTCCATTAGTAGTGAATAGTAAACATAGGAGGAGGATGGTATAATGTAACAAAATTCTGGTATGATAGAGCAAATTACCGGTAATGTTTTAAAGGGTCTTGGTTGAGGCCCAAGTTATTAGAATTTACAATATGAACTGAAGAATTATGGGATTATTTTTTATTAGTAGATGTTTGATTCGTTGGGCTGAATATGGGATATATGGATATAAATAAATACCATATGTTTGGTTTAAGCATGATAAATCGATATGAACTCTTATTTTCAATTTTAATCTTGTATTTCCTAAAATTGAGAAGTTTAGGAGAAGGGCGAAAAAGGCATATTTAGCCTTTGAGTTTAGTTAATATACTGGGCAAGGGGGTGGATCATATTATAAATTATTTGCTTATATAATCAGTCATCAGACCTCTCTAATAACGCTGTTTGATTCGATATTTTTTGGTTGTTATATTGAAGTATTGTTATAAAAAAAAAACATATAATATACATATCAAGTGTGGCCAGATTATTAAAAAAAATCCATTCTCAGTTGATTTCATTCTGTAGTAATTTGCAAGTGGAAAAGGTACAATAAGGTATTGTTACATATATCAAAGCTTGGCTCTATGCAAAATGTTTTTGTTTGGTCATTTGACATTTCTGTTATGCTTTCTTTATATGCAACTTTCTTGTAAGTGAAATTTGTAACAGATTTCTTCAACAAAAGAAACAAAGAATTTGTAATAAATCTCCAGAATCTATCTAAAATTTGACGGGGCTCTACTCTCTTCTCTTTGAAACAAAACAATGTTCTTCGATTTGTTCTGTACGAGCCATTCTTTATACACAGTGATGGCATCAATTCACTTGGACTTCCAATCCAGTATCAAATCCTAGCATCAGTTTGTTCAGTTTCTTGTTGCTAATCCTTTGCTCATATACAGTATCGTCCTCCAATCTGCAGTTAACACATACATGGTAAGTCCAAAGTTGAACAAGATCGCGGGTGGTTACTATGAATGAAGAAGAAAATAGAATTTATGTCTACCTTTGTGTTTCTGATGACGCTGAAGGAGGCAGAAGCATATTGGCTAGTGTGGTAGCATCTTTAGTGGTGTTTATGACTCTGTTGAAGCATAAGTATCGTCCGTAAGAGGAAACATCCTCAAACACACACATATGGGCATCTACCAAGAACTTGAGGTCCACTGCAACAAACACACCATCTTCATACATTTCTGCAGCTCCCTTCAAGTAAGGTTCTCTTATATTGAGGTCTGGATGAATTAACAACCCTCCATTTATAGACACCATGTTCACTTCTCTGTCCATTGCCAATGCCCATGCTGCTTTCTCCGCTTGTGTCTTTGATAGGCCGTGCCATAACTGTCATGCCAATTCATGTTAGACTTTGAAAGTATCTAGTAAGCAGTACTTTTTAACTTTATCAATGCGTTTGGTAAACATCAAAAGTGCCAAATTGTGGAGGATTAAGTAGGTAAATTACCTTGTACTTTTTGCAAAAGTTGATGTCAGTCCAATCTCTTTCATCGACATAGGAATGAGAATGGGAAGCCACAGGAGAGTCATGTTGGTCCCTCTTCCTTGTACCCCATAACACAGCTGTTGCAGATGATGTAAAAACTACCTTGTTTAAGGTGTCTGTTTGTGCACAGGCTTCCATCACATTGTGAGCTGCTCTGACTTCCATTTCTCCCATCAATTCCTGCAACATAACCCAATGATCTAGTTAATTGGATGAGCTCTCAATGTCTCATTTTGAAAGTTCCACACATGAAAATGAGAAGCCAGAGGAAAACAAGCCTCTGCCTATGAGGGCCGGCTCATTCTTCACAAGTATGTGATCAGAGCCCTGACTCCTCATACTGCTTAGGATCTTACAGGTTCATGTTCTATTTTACTTTATTCCAATTATGATATAAGGCAATCGAGTAGATTGTGTGATAACTCACGTCGTAGGTCGGATAGTCAGAGGGGGTCTCGAATGAGTAAAACAGACCACAACAGCCTTTGAGAGCATCTACTATGCTATGATAATCCAAGGGGTCAGCATGGAAATATATCAACTTCTTGCTTTTGCTGTCATCATTGCCACAACCATATTTCCTCTTAAAACATTGCATTTCATCTGTTCCATCAAGATTTCGGGGTCAGATTTCTAATTTCAAGATTCAGTTTATAAACTTTCAATAAGTCAGATGGTCTTGACAGGTTTATAAAAAGAAAGATTAGAAATATTACAGTTAGTAATATCATCAGTATACAATTATGAATCAATAACAATGATAATACAAAAATTGACCAAGAAAATAGTTTGCTCTCCAGCCTCAACTACTTCGACAGTCTTTTCTTTGTTTATGTTTCTCTCACCAATCACACAGCAACAAAAAGTACCAAGCGGAACCCATAAAGTGGGGTCTAGAGTGTCTACCTCTCCATCCACAGCTCATCCCATAAATAATAATAAAAAAAGTAAGGTATCAACTTAAATTAGAAAAAAAGGCTACACCCTTTTTGTGTGGTATCCTATTCTACTTTAATTTATAGTCTTTTCAAACTTTAAAATAATATGTGGTAGACCAAGTATGAGCAAAAAATCACAGTTGTTTCAACTCCACCAATTAAAACAACTAATTCAATAGTCATTAACTATGTTGTTCTAACTGATGTCAGATCCTCCAAAAAAAAGGTTATCTTTTTTAGGATCCGATACGAGTGTGGCAACAATTTTGAAGGGTCCAAGCAACATAGGTCATGAGATTGTTTTATGAGGGTGTTTTAACTGAACCCCATTGCCCTATTTCCCATGTCTTCATAGTAAATTTGATATAATAACACGAAAAGTCAGAGTCTTTGCTATAACAGATTAAGTCATACATACAACAACAACAACAATAACAGTGTAATTCCACAAATGGGGTCTGGAGACGAACCGTAGTTTTGAAAAGCGGCGTGGACTGTATAACCTCTGAGCAAGAGCTGATGGACAATTGCAGATCCCAGCTGACCAGCAGCATCCATCACACAAACTCTCTTTGAACAAAACACTGAATCCTGCTCATCATAAAAGTCTGCTGCAATTGTCATGACTACCTAACAAAAGAATTAATCAACTAAAAAAAAAAAGAATTTGAGCAACCCCTTTTGCTGCTTTGGGAAAAAAAATGGGAGTAGTAGTTCAAGTTCAGCTAGGCAAAAGAACAAACACATATGCAAGTATGATAATAAAGAAAAAGTGATGATATTTAAAGAAGAAAAGTAGGAAGGACAACATTAAAAGAGTGTGTGGTTAAGTAGATGGTTGGCAAACAAATACTGTACAAGTTGTTTGTTAGATACAGCCTATATACCAAACAGTCTTTGATAACCAAAAAATGTCGTAACAGAGCGAAAAATATTTTTTCATACTTTCAACACTGGTCTCCCTAGTTACAAAATCGTCTTTATTAGAGAGTGTTTTATCCTTAGTGCTGTGCGACTTTTCAACATGAATTCAAATTTAATCAACCTCCAATATTTGATAAACCACTAATAAATTTGCATTAAATGGTTTTGTGGGGCTATTGTTGAACATGTTTTTATAGGTTAGCTAACTGTCAATGAGCAGAAAACAGAAAGATACACAGAGAAATAGGGAAATAAATGGGGTCCCTTTACTATATTTGTGGATGAAAATTGCTTCACCCAATGCTGAATTTCTTTTGAAAAATGAAAGTCCTTGCTGTTCACACGCAAAACTATAAATGTGATAGGCACAATTTATAGTCAAAACGAACATACCAGCTTTCTATGGAAAGTTAGTTGAGTATTGTTGCCTGCCCTATTTAATTTTGTGGCACTATTTATTGTTCTCAAAACGAGCTGGCATTGCCTTGGGGAGTTTTAGAAGGCTCTTGAGTCTTGAATGTAGAGTAGTAAATACGAAGACATTAGGTGATTCTTTTCATTTTTCCTTTTTGGTGGATAAAGACACAGAGTTATTTGGTATTGCTGGTAGGTTTGGTGGACAAAGTTACTTGGTATCTCGTGAAACTAGTCGAGGTGTGTGAAAATTGACTCGGACATCATGATCATTAACAAAAAAAAAAAAAGTGTAGTAAATACTCTCTTCGTTCAATTAGAAAAAAAAAAAAGAAATACTTTATCCTTTTACATATATTTTATCTTTTTTATTAAGTACAATATACTCCTTCGGTCCAACAATACTTGTCCACTATTCATTTTGCATATTTTTTAAAAAACTACAAATAAAAAGGTTATTTTACTATATCACTCTTTGAATATAATGAACACAATATCTTGAAAAATGTAATCGAGAAATGACTATAATTAATGATAAAGGTAAATTAGGAATTAATAAAATTATCTATTGATTTCATAAAGTGGACAAATATTACTCCCTCTGTCCCTAATTGCTTGTCGAATTGACACACCTATTAAGAAATCAATAATTGACATTGTGAGTTTGTCATTTTACCCCTAATAATTATGAAGTGGGTGAATTAAAAATTTAATATTTTCAAGAAGTTCTACATTTTTCATAGTAATTAATTGAGGGTATAATAGGTAAAAAAAATTGTTCTTTCTTGATTTGTCAAAATGAACAAGTAATTAGGGACAACTAAAAAAAGAAATAGTATAAGTAATTAGAAACAGAGAGAGTATTGAACATCCCAAAATAATATTATAGACAACTATTATTAAATAGCGGGAGTAATTATTTAGTTCATTTCTCGATAAGTGAGATGGATGGAGAGAGTTGCTTTTAAAACAGGAACTTGGCTATTGTTGGAATAAATGTGAGTTATCCTTAGTAATCACTCACACTTTACTTCATAATAAGTGGTATTTTTAGCTTAAATACATATCTTAAGAAAATTCTCATTCCAAAAAAATAAAAGGTGTTTTTATTAATTAAACTTATCCTTATTCAAATGTCTTGGAAAATAAATAGCTCTTCAATGACTACTTGGTGATGTAAAACTCTTTTTAATTAAGTTTTTGAGTTTTGAAAGTTTGACAAAAAAAATATGAATGAAGATAATAGAAAATTACAATTATATCATAGTTTTTTCTTGTTACCAAGATAAAATAAGACATCAAATTCATGGATTAATAGGCACGATAAAGAATAATTTCGT